TAAGCCGGCCCATCTCCAGCGGTTAGAGCACGACCAATTTGAGTCTGCGTAAGGCCCAAGCTCAATCGCTTCATTTTGAAGGCCCTTGCGAATCTCCTTATATCCTCAATATGCTCATTCGTATCACTCAGTGTAGTAGCAGAAATCTTTTTGCACTTTTTACTTCCAATATTCACTTCATCACTACTGCTTCTTGGGGGCCTACTTTGACGCTTGGTTTTTCGTGATAGGGTGACGTCGACGGATTCGAATTGATTTTGAGCTATAATGAAGGGAAATATAATTTATTCACTAGCCTACCTTGTTTGCAATCAAGTTCGTTTTCAAGTTGGAACATTTTTGGCGGTTGAAAGAAATAGGGAAACCCGAAATCCATATTTGGCTCGGTCCTGGGGGGTATTGAAATTGCTGGGTAGACAGGTAATTCACTGGGCTGTCTTAAGTGAGTAGGTTCAACACCATTTGGAGGAGATAGATAACGGAGTAGTACGCTAAGTGGAAGAGGAGGAAATGTTGTAGATTGGTGAGATGGTGCAGACATTGTTTGTGGTGGAGGAAATATTGGTAATGGAAAAGAGGCCGCATCGCTAATTATTGGTGGCCACATCTCAACCAGTCTGAGCACAGCAGTCTTTGTCAGTCTTACCGCTATTCGAAGGGTTTATATACTCCTCTTCAAAAGATGAAGGGGGTAGCTTAAGAAACACATCTCTACCGCCCCTTCCTTGCCCCCTTTTTCATGATTTATACACTAGTATTGGTATAGTCGGAGAGTAGCTAGCTGCCACACGCTAATTTGTCGTAACATCGCTTCAACTCACATCCACCAACTTTAGTTAAACTCAAGGGGGGGGGGGTTGAGGGGGTGGGAGGATAGAGGATGGCTGTTTTGTTGGAGTGAGGGAAGGGGTGAAAGAGGAGAGAATGGAAAGCACCGATTGCCGCTGTGCGTGAGTGCGGAGGTACGTATTTGGGGTAAGGGGGGGGGGGGAACTGTCTTGGCGACGCAACACGCAATGTCTTCATTCGACATGCCTGCTCCCAGACCATTAGTACCTCTTCTTCTTTTAGACAAGTATATTCTGAATTAATCATGCACACTTGGGTTTTCAAACTTCCGAATACTTATTTAATATGAATGCGGGAATATTCGAGATTTTTTAATTGAATTAGGAAATAACCTAGACTGATTTAATTCATACTATCAATTAACGATTAAAAGTAAGCTGAGATTCAACTAGAAGAGAATTCCATTCTTAAATCTAGTTTACATAGTCTTTTTTATGCCAAGTAGCAGTTGTGAAAGAACTTAAAATATTGTTTCGCAAATTATGTATGGCTCGTATAGTTTCATAATAAAGTAATAGCTTTAGTTGACAATAGATGATATGACCATTTAACTTTAATTAGCCATTATCAGTAATTAAAACGTTTTTTTGTGACACAGAAGTCAATGTACATGTTGCAATATTGTTGATTCATGTACTTGGTTTACCGACCGTAATGACAAAGTCTGGTGGCCAAGAGAGCTGGCGGGATGACAACGGCTCAACTCCACTTTCAATCTGCCCAATTTAAGCGCTTTCGAAGGCTTCCAAATGGACTAAAAAGCCTTATTTATCTTTAAAACAAAATATGTTTCAACACGTTGCTTCATGCACAAAGAGTACTTTTACATGGGCCCGTCTGAACACACCTCTCATTTAACAAATTAGCCAAGGAATTTTTTTGATTTTATTTACATTGGAATTAACCAAGCAGCCAGTTAAAATTTGGGGAATTTTATTTCAACGTAAGCCATTTTGCACTAGGCTAATGGCTCCCGGTTAATTAGCATGCTAATAATATCTTTTGAAACTAAGAAATGCGTAGAAAGCGTAAGCTTCAGTGTCGATTAAGTCGGTTGGTCAGAAGCATCAGTTAGTCTTTGGGTCCGCCCACTTCTGCTTTGCTTTTCAACTCTGTCTGACCCTATGAATATTTTGGATTTGAATTAATCGTTTAAATTAAGAATATGATCGGCACATCTGAAACGTATCAACTAATATAGATGAATAATGTTATTCTCAAGGAGTTGGCCTAAATGCGAAAGAAATTATTTTCCAAGGCTCGAGGTTTTGGCTTCACAAAATGCTAATGAACACTTGCTCAAGAATACGATAAAACGCAATCTTATTTAAGAGCCTTGAACTAATCAAAGCATAAGAGTCCTGAAGGTAGCTCAGCCATGGTAACTGCCGATAACGCTAGTCTTTCGCATTTTGCAAACTTCAAGATCAGATTTAGCTATTCCTTAGGTCATCAAGCCTGATAAACAGCGATATTTAGTAGACAAACTGTGAAAAAGCCCCTTTATGCTAAAGAGAAATCAATAACTAGTTCACTAACGAGCATATGTACTAAATTTCCATCCTGTTAATTGATTATTGGATTTACAGTTAATGACTTTAGAAGCTGACCTCTTCACCTAGCAACATTAGATTCAGACTGAAATATACCTCGAGGTAATGGATGCTATGCACTTACTTATATTTTATCTCCAAGCTGTTGCATTTGTCAGATAATTATTATCTATTAGTTTCTCATTAATCAAAAAGAGAAATCAAAACCAGTCAACAATCTTTCCCTTGTGGGAAAGCAACGTAATTTATTACTTTTTCCCACCAATTCTCCCCCAACTCTTCATCTATCTCAAAATAACATAATCTAGCTCTTCGCATTTTTTCCGATTTTGACAAGACACAGGCATTCTACTTGCCTTTGTGAAGGTCATTAGGTCTAGGGAGGGCAATCTAGCTCCACTTGGTTGTACAAACGGAATTATTGCTTTGATGAGGTATTACAAAGTGGAAAGCAAACTTCTAAGGCATAATACAAAAATCTCCATTTTCACTCGAAGTCTGCTGACTACTTTTTATATTATAAATTCCTGAAAATTATTACAGTCTATAAGCCATTTATTCAAAATACTCTAATCTTCTAAAGTATTTAGCTAATCAAGCAAGTAAAGAAGCAATACGTCGAATTCGGAGTTCCTTGAGCAAAAAACCGCATCTATTCCAGCTGCATATGGCCAGTCCACTGTCATGCATAGCACGCACAAGCAGTTTACATATTTTGACCGGTTAAGGAATTGCTTTT